CAGAGACAGACAGAGAGAGAGAGAAAGAGAGAGAGAGAGAGAGAGAGAGAGAGAGATCGAAAGGATTCGCGATCATAGCCTTTTTAGCGCACCGATTATATTATTCGTGCGATGCTTTATTCATCGCGCTGCTTTCGACGAACAGTGCCGTTTTCACCGATGCGATGTTGCCGTCGATGACAGCTCGCGCTAATAGAAGGAGGGAGGGAGAGAGGAACAACGGCACCGTGTCGTCCACCGCGCAATTCCACGCGTCACAACTCGTCCTCGTGTTCCACGGTTATTAGCGCCGAGCCTGTGGGATTCACCGATACCTCTCTTGCCTTCTTTCATTCCCTCATGATCGTCGCTCTACTCGCCGCCTCGAACGAAATCTCCCGGATTTGTAATAAATTAAAAATATTTTCTCGCTTTTTTGAAAGCTTCGATCTCTTTATCGACTTTATCGATCAATAATTAATATTCGTTATTATAAAGAATTTTCGAGTATACACGTCGGATCTTCGGTTTGAAATGTATTCTCGACGCGTTGAAAAAGAGAAGAGAGAGAGAAGGTTAAATCGGTAAGCGTTCACGGGTAATTTGAGGATGCGGTGGTTCGATCGATGGACGAAAATTTTCGACCGCGCTTTTTCCATATCGAGGGCCGATTGCCATTCAAAATTGAAATTGCGTCTGTGTGTAAAGTTGATATCGATCCAATTAACGGTGCCGGCGTATAAAATTCGCGCCACCGTCCAAATTTCCCCTTCTTAATCTAACTCGTATCGCCTATTGCCCCCTCCCTTCGAAAAATTGAAACGTACGTTTTATCGATCGCGACGGCCAGCTTCTCTCTTCCCGTCCTTCGAAAAGAAGGAAAGCTTCACCTCTTCGCGAAAGAAGGAAAGGAAGGGAAGATCCATCCGTTCCTCGCGTGTCCTCGCGCCGCTATGACGAGCACGTTAATTATTACCGCCAAGGCTCCCTCGCCAAACTGCAGTGGCGGCCGTTGGCGATAGAATTTCACGCGTGAAAAGGAAGGAAACGAAACCGAGGTCGCCCCGTCTCGTCGTGTCGAATCGAAAACGCTTTCGTGAAAAGGATTTCGTCGCCGATGTTTGCTCTTCTTTCGAAAATTTCTTCTCTTTCTTTCTCTCAACTTTTGGAAGAGAGGTAAAATTTGGAACGAACTCTCCACGAAATCTCCTTTTCGATGACGAACGAGGATGGATTTAATCGCGCTATACCGATCGAATCGAGCCAATTATACTTCGATCGAGTTTCTCTTTTCTCTGCACGGATTTTAATTCGCCTTCTAAGCAAAATATAGCGGTCGTAAGGAACATTGTCGACGTTTGTTAATCGAAAATCGGTTTCTCACGACGGAGTTTCGATCAATATTCTCTATCGTTCGAGGTTATTTCGAATCTCGTAACAAGAGATTTTGGCCGACGCCGGAGAAGATACACGGATTAAGAGGGTTTTCGTCGAGGGAAATGAAGCAGAAGGGGAGAAGGAGGAGGAAGAAATGGATTTTAAAGTGGAAAACGTTTAAGCTCTCCGCCCAGGGGAACACGCGTCGCGTGTAAAAAAGGCCCGATTTTCTTCCTCCTCCTCCTCCTCTTCTTCTTCGTCTTATTCCCGCGCAATTCGAGGAGGGCCGATCTTTCGACCCAACACGGTGTTCCACGCTAATCCTGTTTGGATTAAAAAGTAACGCCGCGACTTCCATGTATGATAGAATTTGGGATCCTTGAAAACAAAACGGGTAAATTCTCCCTGGAAACCGCTATTGTCACAGCATACCGACCCATATTGTTATAGAATTTAAAGTTCACTGAAATTTTATATGTGATTTCATTATTGAATGTTGCCAGCAACATTACTATTTCATAGTTGCTAGCTATTTCTTTCTCTTCGTATTTCAAATGTTTCGTAAACAGATAATCACGTATAATCAAATATATTCATTCAGCTAAACCCGTATATTTTTATTTATTGTTTTCCACTGCCCAGTCAACATCCATGCATCGTAATCTCTGTCCCCATATTCGACTCACACACACATATATATATATTTCGAAATATAAAAGTGGCATAGCTGAAACCAGTCCCTGGTTATCGCGGCAGATATAAACCCGAGATGGAGAGTAATTTCTTGGTCGAAAGTGGCGGGTTTCGCGCGATGCACGCCACCCGTTCGTGGCTCGCCTCTCGATTTCTGCCCGATAACGATCGTGTTCTCTCCTCGAAAAATCCTCGAACGAAACCATATTTTCCAATACTTTCCTCATCGTTAATACATTCTTTTTCCTTTTTTTTAAAGACCAACACGATTCACCCCGTTTTCCAATACTCGTCCCTCGCGTTAATACATTCTTTCTTCTTTCTCTTTTAATGGCCAACACGAGTCACCCTGTTTCAAAGAGGCGGAAACGAGTCGACATCTCGACGAGGAAAGGAGGATAACGCGTTTAATTAAAATTAAGGAAAGGAAAAGGAAGGAGGAGGAGGAGGGAGATTCGTTTCTCGAACGATATTTGCGGCGGCGACTCGCGTGACGACCTCGCCGCCTGCAGTCGACCGCAAAATTGCCGGCGGAATACCGAAACGCGCGGCCAGCCGTGCAGGCATCCCAACGAAACGATAGCCGAAATAACTGAAACTTTTGCGGCCGCCCGT